TTGATCAATGCCACGTCATAGTCGGGCACAGGCGGTGGCGGGTTATGATAAGGATGTGTGAAGATTTGGTCAATTGGGATAACTTGCTCGGTTCCGCCTGCTTTACGAAGATCATGTTCACCTGTTACACAGATAAACGTGTTGTTAGAAAACAAATTTAATCCATAGAATAGACCCATAAAAGGAAATATTTTAAGACCTGCGTTCGAGCTTTGAGCCTTTCGATTTTTTGCGCGTTGATATCTCTAAGAGGTAGAAACGTTTTTCAGTCCACAAAGGGAATATGAAATGCTGTCAAGGATAGAGTATAAAGGATTCTGCTACTTTTCATAGTCTACGTTCAAAGAAGCTGTAGAAAGTACCCTACAGAATGTATATGTATATAAAGATATCGTAAACATTCGAAAAATATTATCATGTTATTGTGTCATTACTTAACAAATGAAGAAGCCTAAGCCGTGTATTACACTGTAATAAAACGCGACGGGCGTTTGAGAACACGAGGGAAATGTAGAAAACACGAGTCGCAGGCAAGTCTTTTCTATATTTCCCGAGTGTTCTCAAGTGTCCGGAGTGTTTTATCACAGTGTAATACACGGCTTAGTCTTCTTCATTTGCTTAATTCATGATATAGAGGTAATGTGGCGAAAAACAATAAAACACGCGTTTTCTAAGTTTATTCTCGATAAAAGATGGGTTTTTGACCAACCAGAGCGCGCGCAGGGTCCTATCTTTATTAAAAAGTGCGATAAAGAAGTGTGTCCTTCCTTACCTACGGTCAGAGTAAAAGTCGCGGGGTCTTTTCCAAAATCGAAACAATGAGCGGCGGTAACGACCCAGTACGGGGTAAGAATGGAGCCTCCACACGATACATGACCCTGCAACGCCTTATTGTCCAATGACACTTGCCATGGCCAAGACCCTGGCTGCGCGTCTGTGCCCCCTACAATTCTGGAACCGGCCTTTTTCGTGCCACACTCCACGTTCCCTAGAGATGAGAGAAAGTTGAAGACCTAGAGTTGTCAATGCACAAAAGACAAAATTCTGACAACTGACAACTGAGTACGAGAGATTTCTATTCAAGCTCATCGCAGCAAACTCAAAGGCAGGGTGGACCAGTAGATTATTGATAGGTGGGGGGGNAACAACAACAATGCTTTATTTACTCTTGACACTTAATACACATTTGCGAAGAAAATTACAATAACTTAGGGAAACGATATGTGTTTAAAGCCGAGCCAGAGGGATAAATGAATCTTGCGGCTTTTGGGGTAGGTATGTTTTTGGGGTGGGTAGGTGCAAAAATTTTAGCTGCTCCATATTATTTATTCTCCTTCCAACAATGCAGGATTTTTCATCTTCAAGTCTGCGCTATATGCCTTTTCTACAATCTGAAGCGCCAACGCACCCCAAATAATCTAATAATCTACCCCTAATATAGGCTCGTTTACCGCCGCTCTTTTGCGTTCGGTCTAATTTCCTCCCCGGGAAGAGTTCGGGGAGGAGCGCTGGCTCTTTTTCCCGAACAGCGGCTGGAGATCGAGCTTACCCCTAATACTGAAACAAATCGGTATTCGCTTTCTAACATGTTACTGATTTGATGATGTCTCCTCGGATTGATTTTCGCTCCTTGCAGGAGGCCTAGGTTTATTGACAGTTTGTTAACAGTTAAAATCCTTACTCAAAACGTATGTTTTTAAACTAACTTTTAAAAATCTGATATAATGTTCGGAATTCATGATGTGATGCGCCTTTGATCATTGCATGTTAAAAGGCGCAATATACGTTGGTAATTATTATTATTATTATTATTATTATTATTATTATTGACCAGTCGGAGAACATCAAATTTTAAACCCCAAAACATCGCATAATTCTTTAGACGTTCTATTGCAACTCGATCTCTATTTCAGTGAAAATGTATTATTTCTCACTTGGTGGCCGTGCAGTGGCAGGTAATGAGGGTCGAGATGGCCATAGTCATAGCCACGAAGCTACAACAAGAAACGACAGAAAATATTAGTAAATGGTACTCTAGTAGTGTCGAGTTTGTCTTGGTCGTAAGGAATATTTAAGTAATCCTGGATGTAAAGTAGACGAAATTAATGTACAAATCTGTTTTGCGTAATCAGGGTACACACCTGGTTCTTAAAAGGGAATGTAAACTAAAGGTAAAGCAGACGATTCGTTTCATACTGAACAACTACCGTGATATTTCTATGGTATCTCTGACCGTACAGTTTGTTGCCCACAATCCGACCAATTCATTTACAACTTCAGCGATGATTTTGCACATTTATGAAAAACTGGTCGGAAACTGGACACACTGCCACTAAACCAAAACCCAGCGAAGGTTTCTGACCTCTGTTGTTCATAAAAACTTGCAATTACATACTCTGCTTCTGACGCAAAAATTCCTCAGATAATAATCCCTTCCATCCCGAAACTATGCCCATGGGCTTGACTTTAGACTTACTTATGTACTTGCAAACTGAAGACATGACTCCTTGTGGCAGTAGGATATCATGATGGTGCTTTGAGTTAGGCAAACAGGGATTGACGCCCTGGCGAACGAGCTGGGCTACTTGTAAAATCGATTTTAAGCTAATACCACCGTCATCTGGGGAGACAAAAAAAGACATCGAGAAGAGCTTCATTTCAATGATCGAGCTGCTCGAGAAAGAAGTTATTAAAAATATCACATGCATGGGGCTGTTTGATGCAATCGAAATTATGAGAGGGTGCAAATGTCAGGCGAAACGTCAGCTCTGACTGCGTCACTGAAGCCCAAACCAATACAAGTTTATCTGCATGTATTAAAGAGATAGCTTTCCGGTTCGGGGCATGTCCAAGCTATGACATAGCCCACCCCATTCCACTGTGTATAAACCAACCAGAGGCGAGCAGATAACTCGTGCCTCCCATTCAAGCCAAATATCACATTTGATGTACCGGATGGAATTCAACATTTTCTGTAAAAATCCTTAGACATCTTCCGTGATTTTTGGGCGTCAGTCATTCTGCATCAGTCACTCTTTCCGTGAGGTATCCGTTGAGAGACCAAACATTTCTGAAACGCAGAATTCCCTTTCGGTAAGATCCCAATCTCATCAATTGGGAAAAAATCCCTTATGGTAACACCTCAACCTCGTGAAACACCCCTCCGAATATGAGACCACAAAAAGGCCATTTCAAGAAACACCAAAGCCGAGGAGTTATCATGGAAACTTTGCTATTTAACACAGCAATTAGCGTTCGTATAAATACCGACAATGATAAAAGCCAAACTGCTAACGTGGTCGATGTACTTAATACGAAACTAGGCACTCACACAAACCATCACGCTTGTTTCTGAATTTGTGTTAGCTGAACAGCTCCAAGGTCTCTGAAACGCATGTAGACAATGATTCATTACCAGAAACAAAAACGAAAATGTGAGGAACCTTCTTCGCGCATAACAGATTAATGGCGTGTGAACAAGAAGTAGACTATCAGTTTAAAAAACACTACACTGAAGATCTCCAAACAGAAATCAATCCTTCATAATAATTCAAGCCAAACATACCTTCATTTACGCTCTTTGGTTGATTTTCACTTCCCTGACTGATCTCTGTAAAAGAAGTAAGCAAACACAGGACAAACGTTGCAACAAGCGTGTTAGACGCCAACATTATGCCTGAATACGTCTTTAGCAAGTTACCAGACCAAGTTTGCCTTGGACTGGAGCACAGCAACTCTATATAAACACTGACCTGATATAGGCCCTGTCCATATGCCAGTCAAAGCTGATTCACTGGTCATTTTAAAACACTGAGATTCACAAAAGTATATTTAGATACAGTGTAGCTATGAATAGATGAAAGAGGCTAAAAATGAATGAAGTTCGCATATACGTTAAGATGCGTAAATTTAAGATCAATGATATCATAATTAGATATAATTATCTAGGAAAGAGAAACTAGGTTTGTGTGTTTCTAACGAGTCTTAGTAGCCATTTGGCTGTGTACCATTGGAAATCCCGGCCAATCTGATTGGTTTAATAATTGTGTTCTATTCGCTGATACACAACTCTTGCGCCGGCTGCTGTTGGAACTGAAAATTACTATTAATTTTAGACTTAAAAATACACAAACTGTAGTTTTGTGCTGTGATCCGGCTTTAGAGTGTTTACTAAAACAAGTAGACTACTCGCCCTCGTTTTCTATGAGTGATAGTTAAATCGACTACGCTTCATTGACTTTCGTTTATTGAAAATTCGGGCTTGTCGTCTAATTGTTAAATAGAAACACGTGTGGACAATTTGGGATCGAGAAATGCTGTGTTTCCACAGCTTTTCTGAGTTCTCCCAAACTTTCACGAGTGTTTCTGTAAATCAAGACAAAATCAGTAAAAGAATCCACTGGAGAAAATGTTTTCCGTTTTTTCTTTTACGAAAACACTGCGAGAGAAAAAAGAGAAGAATACTCTTTTATTTCGAGTATCAAAACGTAAATTCTCTTTGGTGGCGCCATCATCACGTCACCAGCACGTTCTAACAGAATTGTGGCTTTCTGCTCACAGTTTGTTATTGGACGGTATATTTTTAAAGGTAATAATGTAAACAAACTAAACGCTAAGATTACTTTGTGATATATTCGTCAAGATGCAAGAAACACACAATCAATATTAGTCTGCGAACAGGCTCCCGGCGAGGACGAAAAAAATTTTCGGCGAGCGCGAAACAGAAGGAGAATTTAAGCGATCGGGGCGGGGACAGGGAAGCCTGTAGACTTTTTTCCGGTGTGCCTATCCGCTTTTGGTAATTAGCCTGTAAAATTTAAGTCAATGAGGTAATTAGACCTGTCAAGAAGTTACATTTTCTGTACTTGCAAACAGTTTTAATCGACCTAATCAAATAGCCGGGCCGGGCGTCATGATATAGAGTGCAAGTAAGCAAAATGTTCACGGAATATTTCAAACTTAACTTTGTCCCTCCAGAGCCAATACTTAGAGAGCTTAAAACATATTTTCCAATACTGAAATGAACCTAAAGAAATTATAAGCACATGATAGAGGTGTCAAACTCTGCGAAGTGACAAGCAGATAACAGTGGAAAGTCCGGAAACCATGCCTTTGACTTCTAAAAAAAATTGTTATAGCACTGCCAAACGGCTCCACTCCACTAACTTCTACTTAAAATTCCTCCTCATAACAGAGCATAAAGTACCCTTGAAAATCACTTCACTTGTGAAATATAACGAGAGGTCGAGAGACCGAAACTTAAAAGAGCACGGCAAACGCACTATTGTCACGAACCGCAGGAGTCGTGTAATTTTACAAAGATCTGTCAAATATTCATCTCAAAGATGTCAACAATCAGCGATTTAACCAATCATATCATGATACCAGGAGCTGTGTCCACAGGCTCCCTTGCTTCGTTCGGGCTCACCGGGAGCCTGTTCGCCGGCTAAATCAATATTCGAAATATATTATAAATTTACCTTTTTTGAACTCAGTAAAGAGTAATATTGTTCTGCCAACATTCAGGTTCTTACATCAAGACATTTAATTCATCACGATTCGCAAACGTACGTGAAGATTGATCTAAATGCTCAAAGGTTGCTATAAACGAGCCAAGTTACATGATGTGGTAGATTCGTAAATTAAATATCGGTGATATAAATTTAAGATACGTAATATACTGACACATCATTTTCTTCTGAATAGTGGAAGATTTGAGATTTGGAAATGGTGCAAATAAATGAAAGTGCTGAAAATGAGACCTGGGTTTATGGAAAAAGCTTTCTTGATGAGCTTTATATTTGGAAGGAATGCTGTTTTCAAAACTTCAATGCACAAAAATGCGGAATATAACGACGTGAAGATAAACAATGACGAACTCATTTTTCAAGCAAACTTTATGAAGGTGGAGATTATGATCAGACTGAAGAAGCTATGCTTTTCTTTGATTTTCTCTTTATCTTGTTAGCACTTAAAAGAGCTAAATATGAGCGAAGTTAATAATGTCAGAAGGTTTTGTTGTTTGCCGTGGAGGCTGAGATGACTTATTTTCGGGAGGGTTATAATTATAATTAATTCGGATTAACGAAGAACTTGAAAAATTTCCTTAACTTTTCGATGAGCAAACCAAGACATAGCTTTTTTTACGTTTTCGAGTTTGTCGCTCACGTACAAACAACTAGCATATAATATTACAAAAAACTGAAATAGTAATATCAAATATAGTTATAATTAATTTATATGTCTGTATTTATGAAGTAGACGATATAAAGATGAATAGGAATGTCAGTCTTTTATTTTCCTTCCTTTTCTTGCTCTTGTCACTGTTTTATTTTATTATTATTATTATCATTATTATCATTATTATTTTTTCATTATTTGAAAGGGTTTTAAGGCCTTTAGGAGCCGTGGAATCAAAGTGCATAAACGGGTGATTAATATTTGGCTCAAAGTATTGACACGGTTTTCATAAATCCAGTCATATTATATAAACAATTAACGTATTGTAGGAAAACAACTAGTAAGTAGGCTATATAGAATACAAACAAATTATTCAGAAGAGCTGGATTGGCTGTTTGAGAGATATAGTTTATATTGCTCGTAAAAGTATAACACAGCTTTTTTAGATCTCTTGGAATAAATCACCAACCGTCATTTATACCTACAGTATCACCAAGAGGACGATCCGATATCAAAAATCTTTATATTTAACAGCATCTAAAAATTGGGCAAGAAGATCATGTAGATTGCTTATTGTTCGAGAGATAAAAAAAAACTACCTTCCAGGGAAAGCGCAAAAAGTCACATCACAGTCTTAGGCAATCGACAATAAACAATTATTGGACAGGCTGAGCAGTATCGTGTTTTGTCAGTGGCGAACAGATCAAGCGCTGTGTTCACCGTGACAAATTCCGGAATGATGATGACATTGAGTGGTTTACACTTCGTGTAAGCCACACAAAAAAAGACTTGAGCAAGTGCCTCGATTTGCCTGTTCCTAGCTACGGCACTGAAGAATATCCAAAACACAATAAACCTAACTACCGGAAACTTTGCTCATACAGTATTGAAAAGGGGCATGCTTCAGCGAATAGAAATATAAATAAAATGGGAAATTTCGCCCGTATTGAAACCTCGTAGCGTTGAATATATATCAGATACATTTCGACCTTAGTTTGGACTATAGAAGACTGACAATTATTCAGTGAAGTAAAACAAGTGCAGTTCCCAGATCAAGTCCTGCATGCGTCACCGGGATATCTGATGACGACATTCGGGAACAGATTGTAAGGAAAAAGAAAACTGGAAATAGAAAACTGAGAAAACTCGAAGAAGCCTGAACTTTAGACGAACGAGTGGACTACAAGTCTAATAAACGGCACAAAATGCATACAGAAGCGATGACGTTTCTTTTGGCTGGCACTTGCAAAATTGGGATATATTTATAAGGGGTATTTGAAAACGGAATTTGAGTTCATTCATCAACAGGGATGTGCCGGAACAGTTGTCACAAGTTAAGAAATGAATAAGTTAAAAAAAAGAAAAGCGATCAGTAGCCTTGTATGCAGTCACACAATATTCCTTATAATAGGAGGAACGCGCGATACAGCGTCTGCCTAT